TTTTCGTCAAATCGTAATACAAATTTATAATACTGGAATCGACGTTTCCGTGAGCCGGCTGGATTTCCCTTAAAACGTAGTATCGATTTACCACCGCAAACAACATGGTACTGGACGGGGGTTGCAAAAGCACCGCAAATACCGTGGTACTTGAATTCGGCGGTTGCAAAACCACCGCAAATACCGTGGTACTGGAATTCGGCGGCTGCAAACCACTACAAATACCGTGGTGCTGGAATTCGACGGTTGCAAAACCGCCGCAAATACCGTGGTACTGGAATTCGGCGGTCGCAAAACCACCGCAAATACCATGGTGCTGGAATTCGGCAGCTGCGAAACCAACGCAAATACCGTGGTACTGGAATTCGGTGGTTGCCAAACCTCCGCAAATACCATGGTACTGGTATTCGGCGGCTGCGAAACCACCGCAAATACCGTGGTACTGGAAGTCGGCGGCTGCAAAACCACCGCAAATACCATGGTGGCTGCAAAACCACCGCAAATACCATGGTACTGGAATTCGGGGGTTGCAAAATCAACGCAAATACCGTGGTACTCGAATTCGGCGGCTGCAAAACCTCCGCAAATACCGTGGTACTGGAACGGGAACGGCGGCTGCGAAACCACCGCAAATACCGTGGTACTGGAATTGGGGGGTTGCGCGCGCCGCAGCACGTACACCGCTCAGATACACCACGCTACAGTCTATCTCAGCACGTACACCGCTCATGTACACCACGCCGCAGCATTTTCTTCGCTAGTCTTGCACGCGACGCAGCACGCGTACCGCTCACACGCACCAGGCTACAACTTACCCAGCACGTACTCCGCTCACGCGTGGAGTGTCCTCACAATGCTGTTCGCGACGACAACCGTCTCGTTGTTTTCGGCGGGTCCAGGCGCTGGCGCAGTTGCAAAACCACCGCAAATACCGTGGTACTGGAATTCGACGGTTGCAAAACCACCGCAGATACCGTGGTACTGGAATTCGGCGGTTGCAAAACCACCGCCAATACCATGGTACTGGAATTCGGGGGTTGCAAAACCAACGAAAATACCGTGGTACTGGAATTCGCGTACCGTGGTGCTGGAATTCGGCGGCTGCGAAACCACCGCAAATACCGTGGTACTGGAATTCGGCGGCTGCAAAACCACCGCAAATACCGTGGTGCTGGAATTCGGCGGCTGCAAAACCACCACAAATACCGTGGTGCTGGAACTCGGGGGTTGCAAAACCTCCGCAAATACCGTGGTACTGGAATTCAGCGGCTGCGAAACCACCGCAAATACCCTGGTACTGGAATTCGGCGGCTGCGAAACCAACGCAAATACCGCGGTGTTGGAATTCGGTGGTTGCCAAACCTACGCAAATACCGTGGTACTGGAATTCGGCGGCTGCGAAACCGCCGCAAATACCGTGGTACTGGAATTCGGCAGCTGCAAAACCACCGCAAACAACATGGTATACGGTTGCCAAACCGCCGCAAATACCATGGTGCTGGAATTCGGGGTTTGCAAAACCCACCGCAAATACAGCGGTACTGGAATTCGGCGGCTGCAAAACCACCACAAACAACATGGAACTGGAATGCTGGGGCTCAAAACCATTGCAAATACCGTGGTGCTGGAAGTCGGGGGTTGCGAAACCACCTCAACTGCTGTGGTACTGGAAGTCGGCGGTTGCAAAGCCACCGCAAATATACCGTGGTGCTGGAATTCGGCCTGCTGTCTTCCCTGTGCAAGAAAGCTGTTCTCGACTTTGTGAGTCGTGGTTGACACCATTTTAAACATTAAGCCCTAAACTTACACCGCGCGCACGCGCCAAGACACCTACACCTCGCACATGCGCCACAGCAACTGCACCGCGCTGCGACCGCGGCACCTAGAACACTGCCAGATACGCGCTCCTTGCTATAACGTGGAACTGAGATTGCTTTCGGGAGAATCGGGGTCTAGAATACCATCGTACTGGAATTCGGGGGCCACGGTCATCGAATTCAGGGGCTGTTACATGCAATTCTCTTGGTCATGAGTCAAAAGTCGTTTGTCTGCGTTTTCCCGATTTTCGCTGCAGGCTTTCCGGTTTGAAAGCTTCGTGTTTAGAAATTGCTTCGCTGGAGCACATGAGTGGCCGCGGCAGGAAAAGGCGTGCCTTGTCGGACATCGGCGCCGTCACTGCGCACGGCGCGGGCTGGAGAGCGCGTTTTTACATCGACGAGTGCAACGTTTTGGGGCCGCTGCGTTCTTGCAAGGAGGATGCCGAGGCCGATCTGGAGAGGCTGCGAGCTGCATCTTCTCGGGACGAGCTGCGTTTGGCAGCGCAACGCATGATGCCTGCCTTTGCCAGTCCGGTGTCTCTAGAACTTTGCGGCATCAACGTGCAGTATCCTTGGAGTCGGCTCATCCTGGCCGGGGTGAAAGCCGTCGAGGTCCGCAAATATCCACTTGGGAGGTACCCCAGCTTCATTGCCGAACAAGATCTATTTCTCATCGAGACTCCTGGCCGCGGTTCCACGCAGGATGCTGACTGCGCCATCGACGTTGGTGCGCCGCCTGACAAGGCTTGCGTCATTGGCGTAGTTCGGTTCAGCGGCTGTTTTCAGTTTGCCGACTTGGCGGAGTTTGACCTCTTTCGGGACCAGACTCGAATCACGTCAGGTGGCAGGTACGATTGGTTGCATCTGGGCGACCGCCCCATCTTCGGCTGGGTGGTGGGCAACACGAAGGGAGTGGAACCCATGCCTGCCGACTCGAAAACAATGCTCGGCTGGCAGCGTCCACGTCCTTTGACTGTGAGCTTCCGCGCTGTGTAGCAAGGTCACCCAAGGAACTGGATATGCAGTTTATGGATCTCTGTCCGTCATATGTCAAATGTAAGTTTTGACAGTGCTCCAGGAGCTGGGAAGTGGCAGCTTATGACTCCATAGTTGTCTGTCTGCGTTGTTAAGAGAATAAGAGAATACGGAAGCGATTCGTAGGTTTCCGTGTTTCGCTGTACCACTGTGTATTGCCAGGGAAGCTGACGCGTTCTCTGAGGATGCTGTCGTTATTTGGAGCAAGAGTAGAACCTGCGGCGGATGAAAAGCGGGAGTTTGTTCTCTCGGGCTCTCTTTACTGGCAGTAGTAGTAGTAGTAGTAGTAGTAGGAGTAGTAGGAGTAGTAGTAGTAGTAGTAGTGGTGGTAGTAGTAGTAGTAGTACTAGTACAAGTAGTAGTAGTAGTAGTAGCAGCAGCAGCAGCAGTGATAGTAGCAAAAGCAGTAGCAGTAGCAGTAGCAGTAGCAGTAACACGGCCAAATACACGTACCTTTCTAACTTCGGACACATACACCGCGCCACCTTCACCGCAACACCTACGCCGGCCACAAACACGCCTCCCGGGCTGACGTGGAACTGCTTGCTTTCGGGATCGGTGTCTAGTTTCCTTGCGCAGTGAGTCGTTCTGAGGCCTTGTATCGCTGGTGGGCAAGAGGCACGTACACAGCATTCTGCTGTCCTGAAGATTTGAACATGTCTGAAAGGTTCACCGACAAGGTGAGAAGACCATGGAAGGCTGTGGCAGACGGGCAATAACCAGTCTTGTGATTGCCGGCAGAAGATTGCACATCATCTTCGTATGTCGGACTCATGAAGATGCAGCCACCGCTATGCAGGATGTAGAAGCCTGCGCATGTTTGAATTTATTTCCCAGCCGTGCATGGAATTCTGCAAGCTTGCTTGCATATGGCGTCGGTATGCATCGGGTTGAAGGTCTGGTTCTTTGACACTGCCAAGCAAGGCACTCAGGCAGGATTCAGCCAGGGCCAGTACTACGCGGGCCTGATCTTCCGTGATCATAGGCTTTCCTGTTGCAGGCCTTGATGAACCACATCATCAATATTGGACTTTCTATGGTCAGCCACAGAGCAAGTCTGTCATACGGAGAGAAATAGCACAGATTCCTGGTTCAATTGTCTGTAGGGGTTTGGGGAATGGCTTGCTGTGGATGCTGATCCGTGCAACTGGCACTGGCCTCAGGCACGGTGCAGGACCAATTTCAGAGGTTGGGGGACACTCCTTGCACTGCCAAGGTACTGGATCAACATGTCCTTGGACTGCACTTTGGGCCGGAAACTCGGTCGGCAGGGCATTGGCAAGTCAGCTGTTTGTCCTCCTTTGTGTATTCCCCATCTTCAAATGCAGAACAAGTTATTCCTGAGGCGTTGCCATCATGTTCCTCCTACTGCGACTGTTGCTCTTTTTCTGAAGTTTTTGCAGACAGCGCAGTGCACCTTGCATCTAAGATGCAGTGAGAATCAGGCAATGCGTTTACCGCAGCAAGCTGGTGGCAAGGCCGGAGCTTGCAAGGTTTGGGCCTCACATTCAAAGAGTTCGCGCATGTTCACGCCACATGCCACTTCGCCTGAAATTGTGTGGACGAGCAGCATCGTCTTTTCCTAAAGCCTAAAGCTTTCGTTTTGCTCCGGCTTGCTTGGGCTCAGCTCTCACACTCACACTTTCAACCTTACTTTCTGGACGATTCACGCGCTCCCTCAATCCCTCCCTCACTTGCACTCACTTGACTTAGTCACTTGCTCACATACTCGCGGGGCTAAAGATTATTTCAATCCGCCAGTCCGCGCCAGCATCAAGTCGCGAACGCATTGGTAGAAGAATCAATCTGCATTCCATACTGAAAACCAGCGGCGGCCAAACCCCCCTTACGGCAATTAAAAATCTTGAAGTAAAGAATGGCCGCGTCTGCTTTTGTTTGTGTTGTGCGCCATGGCGACAGCGAAGCATGAGCAATCTCACTGCGATAGGGTTCGAGACAGAAAATGAATGGGCTCATAGTGCAGTCAGCGTGCGCGAAAAAAGTGGTTCCCACACTGGCCACGGCAGTGAAAAGGGGAGATGAACCTAAGATCAAACTGCGATAGCTCGCGCCTGTGCAATACAGATGCGTCCACATCAGCTTTCCTCGGGCTGCATCAGCGTCGCGACAGGTTTGGCGATGGCACCAAAACTGACAACAAAGGGTTCAAATGTGGAACCGTGAAGAGCTGGCAGCCTGGAACCTTCCAAATTAGAGAAGCGGACCCCACCAATGCTGCTGATGATGCTGGGGGACGGCCAGCATCATTTCATGATCAGCATTGTGGGTCCGTTTCTCCAATCTCCGGCCTCTCGAAAATTTGCTGGGGGGCCCGGATGGGCTTCGGAGAGCTAGTTCAAAAATGTCCGTGCTCACGATGCTTCGTTTTGATGCTTCAGGGACTCCAAGAATCCTGAAGAAATTCCTCCGTAGGGGAAGCCTCCGGAACGAGTGTGAATTTGGGCTTGGTTTGTGAGTGGGGTCCGGGAGGGCCCCCCCTTTTGAAGAAACGGAGATCCAAGCGGCACTGCCTTCCTGGCATGGCGAAGCAGGGTCATTGTCTGCGGCAGCCAGAAAGAATCAAGGCTTAGTGGCGGAGGCCGGCCCTGCCGCGTTTATCAAAACCGGGAGCAAGAGGGCTGGAAGCTGCAGATGTAAAGTAGCACGAGTACTGGTGAATGACAGTAGTACTGTGCCCTGAGAATGTGCAATGGACCTCCGATGATGCCTGATGATATGGACGATGCTGAAGGTGCTGATGGTGGTGATGATGCTGATGATGCTGATGATGCTGATGGTGCTTGCCCACTTGGCCAGCATCATCAGCACGATTGGAGGCCTGCCTGTTGTCCCACCGCTGCCCCTCGTCCTATCCTTGAGCCCAAACTGTTCTTGGCTCCTGCCGAAGGCGAGCCTTGAAACTAGAATCTGTGCTCATCATGCTTTTTTTGGGTGGCCTCGAGGACCATGAAAATCCCACAGAAATCCTTCCGTGTGCTGGAGGGAAGCTTTGTGAAGTCTAGGTGTGTTCGAAATTGCTTTCAGGGTGGCAACATGGACTCCTCGTTGAGCTCGCGGGCGGGGGCAACATCTATGTTGCCGACTTGTCCACAAGACCAGACAGCCTAGATCTGGGGGTTACACTGATGAGGTTAGAGGATTTGCGGGCAGGAGTGGGGTCACGTGGATGGGTTGGACGGATTTGGGGTGAGCATGGTACTTGTGCGGCGGGATTGGGGGTTGCAGGTTGCGTACGCTGATGGGCGGGATTCGATGTCGAGGTCTTGGCGGAAATTGTGGGGCGAGGACAAAAAGGAGCGCATTTCAGATCACTTTACCATATCAAAGTCTCCCCTGCTTTTGTTTATCATCTTGCATGTGTAAGTTAATATTCAGCTACAAAGAACAACATGACTGCGAGCTCTGGAAAATGACGAGGCAACTGCTGAAGAGAAGTGTTTGTGGAAAGCGGCCGATGTTGAGGGGCATGTAATGAAACAGTTGAATGCTGGGAAAGTTAGGTGTGGACCATGGCGACAGCAAGCATTCGCCTCCCCACAGCTGAGCGCCCCAGCAGCTCAGAATGAAGAATGTCCACGCAACTCCCAGCGGAGGAATAAGTGGTTGCATTTGGTTCGGAGCTAGAGTCAAAAAAGGAAGACCTGCCGCGGCACAGAGTGGCATTTGTTTGACAAATTTGTTTTCACAATTTGCTGGCTGATGCCCACGCGTGTGCTTTTCTTTCCTTCTTTCTTTGCTTCCTTCGTTCTTGTCCCTGCTTGTTGCCGTCACTTTTTTCCGTGCTTGTTGCCTTCTCTTGCCTATCCTCTTCCTCTATCCTCTTGCCAGAGAATGTACGAAACCAGCTCTGACATAACAGTGAGAAACAATCAGCTGACATTGTGTGGAAGGCTGGTTCGAAGTCAAGTTGGAAAGCTCTTGGCTTAAAAGGCAAACCCGCTTTTGAGGCAACAGTAAAACAAGGTACCGTCGTGGTCAGCTACCGCGCAGTTTCAGCACGTCGCACTCGGGAGGTGTAAATGCAAAAAATGCGTTTCATGGTGGTTTTGAGCGCATGTCCAAAAATGGAGGTGAAAGGCATGACTGGCATTTCCACTATTCCTGCTTGTCAGGTGCGCGATGTGCTGCGTTTTATAGTGGATTCTGGTGCGCAGCGAAAAGTACCTCTGCGCGAAAATGTTTTCACTTGCCGTTTGCGCGCGCTGCCAGCTGCTTGCCCATAGACCAAAGGTCAGGGCCACGGTTGTGCTGGTAGGCAAAGATCTTGACATACACCATACACCATCAACCTTGTCCAGCACGAACGATATTATGGTTTGGGCATGGATGCTCTAGTCACCGTATGCTCTTGGAACACGAATGTTATTATGGTTTGGGCATGGATGCTCTAGTCACCGTATGCTCTTGGAACACGAACGATATGATGGTTTGGGCATGGATGCTCTGGTCACCGCATGCTCTCGGACCACGAACGTTATTATGGTTTGGGCGTGGATGCTCTAGTCACCGTATGCTCTGGGAACACGAACGTTATTATGGTTTGGGCATGGATGCTCTAGTCACCGTATGCTCTGGGAACATCAACGTTATTTTGGTTTGGGCATGGATGCTCTAGTCACCGTATGCTCTTGGAACACGAACGTTGTTCTGGTTTGGGCATGGATGCTCTAGTCACCGTATGCTCTGGGAACACGAACGTTGTTCTGGTTTGGGCATGGATGCTCTAGTCACCGTATGCTCTTGGAACGCGAACGATATTATGGTTTGGGCATGGATGCTCTAGTCACCGTATGCTCTTGGAACACGAACGATATGATGGTTTGGGTTTGGGCATCGATGCTCTGGTCACCGTATGCTCTTGGAACACGAAAGTTATGCGCTTGTCACCGCATGCTCATGTAGCCACGAAATCCTTGAACCTTCAAAAACCTTGAAAACCTTTGCGGTCATTAATGACGACGGTAGCTGAAACAAACGTGAAACAAAGCTGGCAAGCTCGGATCCGAGGAAAAAGAGACTTCTAGCAGCAAGGTATGATTGTTGGGGGTGTGCTGTGTGAGCTTCACAAGCCCACAGTGGTGCACATCGGTCTTTTGACAAGCATTGCTTAAGCCCGGCGCTGCGATCAGAAACACTCATGCGTTTGGAATTCTACACTTCTGTGTTCGAAACAAGGGCCGGCGAATTCACACACCCTTTTTCATGTTTCGAACCTTCAGCTCCTTTGCTTCCTTTCGCAACATCTTTTCTTTCAACCGCCATTCTAGAGACCGATCCTCCTTGACTACTATGTACTCGCCTTGCTTGGAAACAAACCGAAGACAATGGTGATCCGTATTCACTTTGGTGAGGGGATCCGCTATCATCTGCCGAGTATCGACCCATCGAAGGACCATGTTGTTGCTCCTGATGTCTCTTCTCACTAGAAGCGTGTCTATGGCCCTGGCCATCCGCTTGGCTCAACAACAGCGCCATCGCCTTGGGAATGGTCAAAGATGGGCTTGTTCTCGCTGGTGATCAGCGCTCTTGGCCTCTCTCTCAGACATTTCTCTTGGTCCAAGGTGTAGTCCTCGTTCAGAGCCTCCGCAAGAAGGGATCGCGTCCAGCAACACTCCGCGATGCCCCGGGATAACGACATAAGTTCTGACCCCAGGGTCGACCGCGTGTGTCTTTCCAATTTAAAGGATCGCCGTCTTAGCGGGGACACTGCCGCCCAAGCTTCATGCTCGAGCCTTCCATCTGCGAACATGATGCAGTGACCTCTTTGACTTCGCGCATCATCTGCGTCGGCCCAAGACGCATGCGTGGCCAGGAGGAAAACCCCCGTCTCGAGGGGTATGCTCTTGCAGGTCGCAGTCATAGCGGCATGATCACGTATCAGCCCACCAGACAGTTGGCTTCAATCAAGTCTGCAACTGTGGCCCTACTCACCCGCTGCTGCAAAATGGCATTCAAGGCCGCAATGTCTGGCCGTGTGCTTGCAACCAACCAGTTCGCTGCACCCAGGATCAGCTCACCAGGCGTCAGCGCCTCGTCTTTCTGCCGTCGTCTCTCACGGCTGTTGTAGGCACGTTTCACCTGGCTAGCGTACTCTTCCTGATCACACAGAATGGAGAAGTCATCATGCTGTTTCAGTCTCCGACCAAGGAACGTGGCCTGACCCTCGGTCCAGTGTTTGAAGGGGAAACGTTGTCTCAACCGACTTAATACGGTATGATGAAACTCACTCGAACCCCCCATTACAAGGTCGTCGACATGAAACGCGAGAACTCCCTGTAAACTACCCGATGATACCAATAGTAGCAACAAGGATTCATGCCCAGCTTCTCAAGCTCTGCAGACAAGCAAAGCCACCTCTGACGTGGTGCGTGAGCTACGCCAAAAGCGTACTTGCAAATCTCAATGACAGCAGCTCCCTCTATGCCTTCCATACCCTCTTTAGGAAGCGTAGCGTAGACCTTCCCGCCAGGAC